AACAATAAATTTTGTATTATCGTAGTAATGTTAGAAGAAGGAGTAGCCACCAGCATTAGTATTAGTAGTAGTAGTAGTAGTTGTAGTAGTAGTAGTAGTAGTTGTTGTTGTAGTGGTAGTAGTAGTAGTTGTTGTTGTTGTTGTTGTAGTGGTAGTGGTAGTAGTAGTAGTAGTAGTAGTAGTAGTAGTAGTAGTAGTAGTAGTAGTAGTAGTAGTAGTGGGAGAAGTAGTAGTAGAGGTGTTTGTTGTATAAGTAGTAGTTGTTGTTGTAGTAGTAGTAGTAGAATTATTATTATTAGTAGCAGTAAAAGTAGTGTCAAATTTGTTTCTTTATTTTCTCTTCTCGAAACTTAATTCTGGTCGTCACTAAAATTTAAAAAAAAATTTTTGTTAATCATCAAAATGTAAATTTATTATAAAAACATTTAATTTATGATTAACAATAATTAGAATTAAATAGCCCTAAAATTAATTTATTAAAAAATTTGAAAAATTCATTTTCAGATTTAGGCCCAGAATAATTTCAAATCAACTTTTGCCATGTTACGAAACAAAATTTTCCGACTCAATCAACATTCTTAAAGAAATCACAGAAACAACAACTAAAATTGGATTAAAATAAATTTGAAATAAAATTATCTAAAATACAATCATTTTGATAAATAATTAATCAAATTAATTATTTAATTACTAATTAATTAATTAACTACTAATTAAATAATTACAAAATAAAAAAAATTTATAACCGGAGTATTTCGCATATATGAGGACCATGAGCATGATTATAAACATCAGATTCATCACGGTTATAATGATCGCATGCATCTTCTTATGGGCTGGATAAATGAATGAATGAATGAATGGATGAATGAATGAATGGATGAATGAATGAATGAATGAATGAATGAATGAATGAATGAATGGATGAATGAATGAATGAATGAATGAATGAATGAATGGATGAATGAATGAATGAATGAATGAATGTATAGATGAATGAATGTATGGATAAATGAATGAATGGATGGATGTATGGACGGATGATTGAGTGATTGAGTATGTCAGTTAAACGAATGAATGAACGAATAGACAAAAAATATAACTGCCATATATATATATATATATATATATATATATATATATATATATATATATATATATTCATGTATATAGATAGATAAATGTATAAGTGGA